TTGATATGATACTCCTGATAAAAGAGAAAAGCGGAACAGCAGAGGAGGAGAAACACGGATTAGAAACGTTGTACACAGTGACTTCATTCAATACGGTTGTTTTCATTAGGCTTAGAGCAGGAGATCAATAATCTAACATACAGCTGCAACTGTAATTGTGTAGACATGGTGCTACTGGTGCGTATTCAACAAATTTGGAAAACAAAAGCAAAGTAACCAATGAATAATTACAATAGAGCTGTGTGCATGAGTGGGAGAGTTGTTTTTAAAAAAGGTTTCTAGTGAAGTTATAAATGTTTAACTGGATCTTCATGCTGCTCCATACATCAAATAAGGACCAAAATTAAAAAACACATTAAAGTTGGCCATATGGCATATGTGGTGTATTTCCAAGTCTTCTGAAACCGTATGATAGCTTTGAGTGAGAAACTGAATTCATTAGCACTGCATCATTCATGTTCACCTACATTCAGATATTCTGCATGAAGACATCATGCCAAGTTTGACAGCATTGCTTGTTAGCTGTCTCAAAACTGTCACTCACGCAAAGCTATGTTATGACTTTTACTAACACTGAAGAAAAAAAAAATTAAATTGGAAAATTCAGGAATTGCTAGTAAATTTCACAAATAATTACAAAGAAATGGCAAGTAACACATTGAATTAAACTTGACATTTTAAAGCAGAAAGGCTAAAATAGTATTTTTTGAAACATACTCTAAAAACCTTTAATTTACTTAATTAACAACAACAACAAAAAATGACAGTGTGCTTTCTTAGTGTTTTTAAAAAAAAAAGTTTGATAGTGCCTGTAGCTGGTCTATTCCTGTGAAAAAGTGCAGCATGAACATTCGTCCAAACATAATTTTTTTGTATTCCACAAAAGACAGACGGTTTAAAGCCTTTTGCATACTGCACAATTTTAACAATCCTATAAGATCACATTGTGTGACATGGATCTAATAAACTTGGGTACGACATACATGTAGACTGTACGATAATTACACTTATTGACTCATACACTATACGACGCATGTTACTATAGAAGAATAAAACGTCATCAGCATGTGCTAGTGATAAACAAAAGAAGCATGATGAATCAGTTGGAGTTTTTATGTGTGCTGAAAAAAGTGGTAGCGGCGAAGGAGGAAGGGATAAGCTTGAGGTAAGCAGTTTTATGTTTTAGCACCATGTCACGTTGATTTCATGTCGCATTTTTATTGGCTGGTCAGTAAATGTGGGTCATAGCAGCAAACACACTGTGTGATGATCATTCTGAATTTCTAAAGCCCGAGACACACTACACGATTTTCGACTGTCCCAGATGAAATATTGGCATTGTGAAAGAATCGTGGAGATTTCTGTGACCGTGGCTCCTAATCGGTGGCATCCTATCTTGTACAGAGAGAGGTTCAAAGACGCCGTTGTCACAGTCTTGCGACCAAAGATAGCCTACGATAATTTTCGGACAGTGTCAGAAATACAGCATGATCATCGCACTGTGTGTTTGCTGCTACGATCCACGTTTACTGACCAGCCAATAAAAATTAATGCGACATGGTGCTAAAACATCAAACTAATTACCTCAAGCTCATGATGCTTATTCCTTCCTCTTTCGCCACTTCCATTTTTTCAGCACACATAAAAACTACAACTGCCAAAGTGTGATTCATCTTGCTCTATTTGTTTACAACTAGCGCATGCTGATGACGTTTTATTCTTCTATAGAAACGTACATCTTACAGTCTACATGCATGCTGTACCCAATTTCATTAGATCCATGTCGCACAGTGTGATCTGCAATGATCTTATAGGATTGCTAAAATCATGCAGTGTGTAGAAGGCTTAACACTGTCAGAAAATTATCGTAGGCTATCTTTGGTCACAAGACTGTGACAACGGCTGTCTTTGAACCTCTCTCACTGTATTACACAGGACCACCGATTAGAAGCCACAATCACAGAAATCGCCACGATTGCTTCACGATGCCAATCTTTCGTGTGGGACCACTGAAAATCGTGCAGTGTGTTTTAGCAGTCTTATAAGATTATTACAAATCCCATTGTGTGACATTGATCTGATAAACTTGGGTATGACATGTATGCAGACTGTTTGATGATGACATTTATTGATTTGTAGGCTATGACACAAGTCATTAGCATGCGCTAGTGGTAAACAAAAAGAGCATGAGGAAGCACAGTTTGGCAGTTTTAGTTTTTATATTTGCTGAAAAAAGTGGAAGCTGTGAAAGAGGAAGTTAAAAGAGTTTAAGGTAAGCAGTTTTAGGCACCAAGTTGCATTGATCAACATGCCATTTCATGTTGCGTTTGTATTGGCTGGTCAGTAAACGTGGCATTAAAAAAAGCATATATTTCAGGTTGGTAAATCCAACGTGCATGTACAGTCCTAAGTGCTTGTCTCAAGACGAGTGAACCATCTAGGTATATATACAGGTTTGATGGTTAATTGCAGCATTGAATGCTGGTGAAATACTCTTGTGTAATGACCACTAAACTGTATATTTGACTGTTTTCAATTGCAACATACCAGTGCTAATATTATGTCTCTCTTTTTACTCTGCACTCTGGAACTTGAGTGTTATTTTAAACACTACAAGGCTAAAAGTCTCCAGTTACAGCAAGAAAGTTAAAACATCACTCAAAAGAAGGAGGAATCAGTAAAAGACAAAGAGCTGGGAACTTGATAGAGGGAGATAAGTTGCACTGTAGCTAAATATGTTAGCTAAATAATTTATAGAAAGAGTACATTGGATTTCAGATTCATAGTAGCATATTACATTTACATTTAGTCATTTAGCAGATGCTTTTATCCAAAGCGACTTACAAATGAGGACAATAAAAGCAGTCAAAACTAAGAAAAGAGCAACAATATATAAGTGCAAATGACAAGTCTCGGTTAGCCTAACGCAGTACACGTAACAAGGTGTGTGTGTGTGTGTATATATATATATACAGTGGGTACGGAATGTATTCAGACCCCCTTAAATTTTTCACTCTTTGTTATATTGCAGCCATTTGCTAAAATCATTTAAGTTAATTTTTTTTCCTCATTAATGTACACACAGCACCCCATATTGACAGAAAAACACAGAATTGTTGACATTTTTGCAGATTTATTAAAAAAGAAAAACTGAAATATCACACGGTCCTAAGTATTCAGACCCTTTGCTCAGTATTTAGTAGAAGCATGTAGATAATTGTAGATAAAGTAGAATTAAAATAGAATAGAAAGTGCTAGAGTTAGAGGGTCAAATAAAGGTGGAACAGATGTGTTTTTAGTCGTTTCTTGAAGATGGGTAAGGAATCAGCTGCTCGGATTGAGTTGGGCAGGTCATTCCACCAGGAGGGAACAGTTAATGTAAAACTCTATGAAAGTGATTTTGTGCCTCTTTGAGATGGCACAATTATACGCCATTCACTTGCAGAAAGCATGCTTCTAGAGGGCACATTGCTCTGAAGTAATGATTTTAGGTAAATGGGTGCAGAGCCAGTGGTGGTTTTGTAGGCAAACATTAATGCCTTGAATTTAATGCGAGCAGCTACTGGTAGCCAGTGCAAACTGATGAACAGAGGCATGACATGCGTTCTTTTTGGCTCATTAAAGATTAATCTTGCAGCGGCATTTTGGATTGATTGTAGAGGTTTGATAGAAGTGGCTGGAAGACCTGCCAAGAGAGCATTGCAATAGTCCAGCCTGGACAGAACAAAATCTTGAACAAGGTGTTGTGTTGCATGTTCTGAAAGAAAGGGCCTGATCTTCCTAATGTTGTATAAAGCAAATCTGCAGGACCGGGTAGTCCTGTGTTAATTATATAACATAACACATAAAAGCAGCAGTTTTTATCTTGTTATAGGGGATGAGATAACCTCAAATATACAAACAAGTATATAGGCATGAAATATCGATTTGAGTTGAAAGTGTTTGGTTAGTAGGATGTAATAAGCGGCATATTGTGCATTCAGCTGGTCATTATCGCTCTGTCTGGACTTATTTTCTGATGGTGACTGTACATCATCTGTCCTATAACGAACTGGAACAATTTTCATTTTTTTGTTTTTTATTAATATATTATGTTGTTTATTTTATTAAAATATATTTGGGTGAAGTAAATAAAATGTGGCAACATTTGCTCTTAGTTTGTCTTAGTTAAACCCGAAATTTGTCAATAACACTGATTTTTTTATCTTTCTTTAATTGGTTGGAAGTGCAGAATCTCTTCCTTTCTGTCTGGCTCTCAGAGGTCTGATGCTGTTAATGATTTTCACTAAAGACTGATAGTTTCCCATTAATAAAACTGAGAAGGAAATACCATTGAGCACTTGCAAGAGGCATCTACTGCAGGTTAATTAGACAATAATTGGCACTTGTGCAGTGAAAGGTTACAATATTTTGGCTTGAAGGATTGCAGCGAAAATGTCATATTAACATGCAGTACAACCATTATAGAATTCATTTGGCCTTTTTCAAGCAAGACTGTTATCATATGCTGCATAAATATTGGCATCTTCGGACTGCCCTTTTTTCCCAATGTTGGGGCTATTGTTCTGAATTAGTCTGGAATTGATTGCCTTAATGTTTTGGAATTTATAATTGATTCTTACACCCAGAATATTTCCATGGTCAAAAATGACTGGAGCCGACCTTCCTTTAGTACTTTAATAAGGTTCCTATCTCAGTTGAAACAGCTTGTTTCTGACGCTTCAAGCAACAAAAGGTTATAACTGAGATTTGGGAAATAAAGAATAATTTAAACCGAGCCTTGAGAAACTGTGTAATTGATTTAGTTAGGCAGTTCTGGGCCGAATAACATGTTTACCACTCAGGCTGAGGAAAAGGCTTTGTGACACTCTTTACCAACTAAAAAAGACCGAAACACAAATGTCAAACTTGGTGACTCAAGGTCTCTTGGTGAATAATCTAAATATATCCAGAATCTAGCAAGCAATACACTGGCCAGAAATGAAACTCGTAGGGCATCCAAATCCAAACCATTCTATGTGCACTTTATTTACAATGATTCATTAATATCACAATACTTAATCTACATGTCACCATCTGCATACAGTCCTGTAGCCTCATAAGTGAGTGCAGAGCATTGGCAAGCCTGGAAATACGGTTCAGTTTTTAACTACAAAAGGTGGTAAAATAAAATCACTTAAAAATGAAGAGAATAGAGAACATAATATAAATGAACATACAAAAAAGATTCGATTCATCTTGTTAAAATGTCATATTTTGCCATAAGTCTGCTGTTCTCTTTGTCTTGGCATTGTCCTACCATTGACATGTCAAACCAAAAGAATGCTAGACATCCTTTGTTATGTAATGGCTGATGTGTTGTGTTCAGTAAGGTTTATGTAGCAGTTGTTCCCTGGCTCGTACTCATCTCTATTACAAAGGCAAAAGGGTGAGTTCAGTTCGCACACATTGATTTGACTATGCCACTTCCTTTAAAGCACTGTCGTTTAGCCGCTCCATGTAGTTTCGTAGTTCCTTGGAATCACCAAGCTCAACATCCTGACATACCCACTTAATGTCATTGTCAGGATCGACTCCCAGATTTTCCTTAGCCGGACTAACACTTTCCACTGGGATGGTGGTGAATGTGGTAAACTTCACACGTTTTCTTTTGGTCGTTGGTGAATCGCCTTTGCTGTCTTTTCCGGTGCAGAGCGTAGCGGTTTCGGCTCCTCGGTGCACCTGGCCTTGAACATTCTTCTGCAAAGAACCACCATTGAGAAGGTGGCTCCCTTCCTCTAACCCTCCTAAGCTGGAATCCATAATGGTGATGTGCTCATCGGTCTGCGGAGACAAACTTACGTGGCTCTCCAGAAGTTCAGCGTCGTTTCCCAGCCACACCCAGTCGTGGGCGTGGTTCAAGCTCTCCTGGCCCTCAATCGACATCTCCTTGTGTTGGTACTTGAGGGTATATGAGATGCAATTGATGAGGAAAACCAGAATAGCCAAACAGAAGACACCTAATAAAGCATACATCCCAATTTCAAGGTCAGTAAGTCCATGAGGTATTTGAAGGTCGTCCTCATCCACGTTATGTCCTCGGGGAAGGTCCACTTGAGCGGGGAAGTCTGAGAAGTCAATGGGAATGCCGGGCAACTGGCTCCCATCATCTGAGAGCTTGTCTCCGCCTGGTTTCCTGATGATTGCTGTTTTGGCTGTGGTGGTGATTCTTCTCATGATACCGTCCTCCATGTCTGAGATGGAGCTTCCATAGTAGTGGTTGTCCATTCCGGTTCTATCCGGGAGAGACGGATTCTGTCTGCGCTCTCCTGGTCTGTTGTCCATGTCCTCATCCTGGCCGAAGTCACCCGGTCTCAAGGCGCTTTCGCTACGACCGAACTTCACACGGATGTTGCAGTTTCCAGCCGCCAGGACGCTCCGACGCTTAAATTTCTGACATACTTCAGATACCGTCATTTCTACATGCACCAGTAGACCTTGACCCTCGGCTCGTGCAGAAATAACCGGCCACCGGCCTGCTGCGTCTTGCCGTACGGACACTACATCCTCATCCAGAGAGGTAGCGGTCAGAACAAAGTGCCCTGGGTTGTATAGGTCCAGAGGAGCCATGGAGCCATCACTGAACTGCAGCCACGCACTGATCAGCGCCTCCTACAGAGGGTAAAGAGAAAAACAAAAGATATGTATGACTGTATCAGCAATAATTGCATGATATATTTGTACTATATCAGCTATTGCAGGGGTGTCCAATCCTGCTCCTGGGGGGGGGGGGCACTTTTCTACAAATGAACACATCTGAACCAGCTAATCAAGGTTTCTTTAGGATCACTTAAAACCTTCAGACAGGTATGTTGGGGCAAGTTGGAGCTAAAAAGTTTTGATTGTATTTGATTGTGCATGGTAATTTGCTCTTTTCTTACTTGGATGACTTTGTCATCATCTAATGTTCACATAAAGTTAATCTTTAAAAAATCTTTAAATGCTGTCTTTAGGAGATCTCAAAATGAATATCCATTTTTTTCATACTGTACATAATAATGTGATTCCTAAATTGACTTGTAGCACTTAAAATGGCTGATTTGAGTGTTTATTGTTATTTTTAACCTACTTAGACAAAATAGTATTCAGTACAAGGGCACTGCTAGCAAGTCTCAAATCTCAATATCTGTCTACAGTGTTTTTAGCCATAGGCTTGCAATGCAAAAGCTGCCTGGAATAAATATTCAACCAACTAAAATGCCTTATTTTGGCCAAATTTTAGTCAGAATGTTTAGAAGGAACTGTAAAAAATTAAATCAAGCAATAAAAATATCACAAGAATGGTGTCATAAATTTGGCCTCTTTAGGTATTTATAAACTGCATTTTCAGGCAGGTCCAGCTAAGGTACATGCTCCTTCTAGAGTAAATACATGTTATGGTAACACTTTGGGACCCGTTCTTACTATTAGCTAGTTGCTTATTAACATGCCTATTATTAACATATTGGCTGTGTATTAGTACTTATAAAGCACATATTGTGCATGACCTTATTCTACATCCCTAATCCGACCTTACTACCTTACTAACTATTAATAAGCAGCAAATTTGGAGTTAATTGAGGTGAAAGTCGTAGTTACACATGTTATGGTAACACTTTGGGACCCGTTCTTACTATTAGCTAGTTGCTTATTAGCATGCCTATTATTAACATATTGGCTGTGTATTAGTACTTATAAAGCACATATT